GCCAGAAGGGCTAATTTAAATTTAAACAAAAGAATATTTATACGGCAGCTATTTATGAAAGTGGTCTATTATATGGCTGTGTCCTACATGCCAATTTTTTGTATTCTTTGTACCTTTTATTTCTCGACCGGTCTAGATGCTAGTCTAGATGGGAAAATCTAGACCACTTTCAATATTGATTTCAGCCAATCAAATTCGTGAATTAGGTAGTTTCCAGTCCTTGTGAGACACAGCCATATAATAATATGCATTATTAATTAATCATTCAAAGGCCTTTTCCTTGGATTTTTTCAGCCTTTTAAGTGTTGATTAGACTCAGAGGCCCTGCTAAGGGATCTTATTATGATTAGTATCATTTAAGGGTTCCTCCAGGAATTTTTGTTGCTAATCTGCCCTTTCGGGCTCCAAAGGCCTTGTTTTGGGATTTTGATACGATTTACAGTAACTGTTGTAGTTAAGAGTAGACACTTACCCTCTTCTAATTCTTGCCACATTGCTTCTTTGGTTGTGCCCCTCATTTTAGCATATTTAGTTGTAGTTAAGAATAGGCTTACCCTCTTCTAATGCTTGCTGCATTGCTTCTTCTGTTGCGCCCCTCATTTTAGCATATTTAGTTGTAGTTAAAGTAGGCTTACCCTCTTCTAACGCTTGCCACATTGCTTCTTCGGTTGCGCCCCTCATTTTAGCATATTTAGTTTATCTTTTTTTCTTTTTTTCTTTTTTTCTTGTTTTCTTGTTTTTTTGGATTTTGTCTCTTGTGTTTTGTCCATTGTTTTCTTTGTAGCTCGGTTTTTTTTTATCATCCTTTTATTAGCACCAGTTCATTAGTCATCACATGTAATTACATAATCGCTAGCACTTCATTCCTATTTAAAGCTATTTTTTTAAAAAAGTTGTAAATAACTGAGGAAGGTCTTTGACCAAAATGTTTTTATTAAAATTTTCTATCTCTTTTACCTCAGAATTTGTCCATCCTCGCATTTTTTTGAAACTTTGTACATACACATATACATATATATATATATATAACATGTGATAGGCAGGAAAAAATCAATCAAATACATTTTGTTTTGTTTTTAAGCCAAAGGTAGATTTCCAGATAATGTTGGTATGGATACTTGACTCTGCCTGTCTAGACATTCAGATCTAGGATTCTAAGTCATCTGTATTTGATCAGGTTTCCCATTCTGTGGAATTAGTGTTTGATGGTATAGGTCATGCGTAATGAACTATTTGGTCATTAGGATATTTCTTGCAATGTGTAACCTTGCTAATTAAAAAGCAAAGTTTTTCCTTTTCCATATCTTTGTAAAACAAAACCAAAAATAGTACATGGAAATGTCTTATTCATGATATATCAATAGTTCTTTATTTTAAGTAAAAAAATAAATGTATGGATGTGTTTTTGTTGTTGGTGTGTAGCAACTTGTTGCCTGTGGGGAGATGGTTACGTGGGGATGTTCAATGATCAATTACAAGTCATTTAATGGAATTAGTTTGGAATGTGTTTTAATCAGGTATGTTTGACCGAGATCAGTCCGGAACTATCAGTTTCCAAGAATTTCAACAGCTGTGGCAGTATATTCACCAATGGAAGGGTGCATTTGACAGATACGATTCAGACAGATCAGGAGCTATAGAGTCTCAAGAATTACATCAAGCTTTTGCTCAAATGGGTTTCAATGTTTCAGCAAATTTTGTCAACCTTGTAGTTACCAGGTACCTACAGCTTTTTATGTATGAGTGTAGAGTGGTTACTCTTTACTTTTAAACTCCTCTATTTTTTAAACTAAAAATGCTTGTATTCCACTGGCTCAATTTCCTCCTCTTCACACAAGTAAGGCTCAAACTCTGCACCCCTGGGGCACAGAGGAAAGTCAAATGCCAGTGGGTTGCCCAGAGGGGGTTGGGGGATGTTGAAGCTTCAAATTAATAGGCACATAATCTATTGAAGTCACAGAATAATATTGTATGTTGGGGTAATGTCTAAGAGAGAAAATGAACATTCCCAGTTAGCTCAATTGGTTGAACGCCAGACTGTTGTGTGGGCTGAGGTCGAGGGTTCAAGCCCCAGCCGGACAACACTCAGGGTCTTAAAAATAACTGAGGAGAATGTGCTACCTTTCCATTGATCCGGGGAGAAAAAGGGGCTTATTAATCCACTGGATAACACAAACCATATAAATGATTTCTGGTTTTATTCGTTATATTAAGGAAAACATTACATAGAATATTAGATAGGGCAAACTACAGGGCAAACTACAACATAAGCAAACTACAGTGATTAATTGCATATCATCGACCACTTACTTCTGTGACAATATCCAGCAGATTATTCCTAGTCACTCGTAAACACGGGGTGGCAGTTCAAGTGGGCATCTGGTTGGCAAAATCATATGAAACGCCGGTCAGCGAGAAAACAATTTAGCACGGAACAATTCCTTCTAAAATGAACTTTTAACATGTTGCGTGATCTTACAAAGTTACTAATCCTAGGTGTATCATGAACTTAATGAAAAGGGAAATTAATTGTCAATCCATTATGACTCATATCAAAGTATATACTTTTCTCAACGAAACATCTATAACATCATGAAATGGATAGACATTCTAGTCTTCTCGGATAAGGATGAGTAAACCATAGGTCCCATCTCCTGCATCTATTAATAAGTTAATTTGGTTTGGCAGGGGATGTTAAAGAACCCACATCATGAGATCACTGTGATGTGGTCTGGCCTGTTTACTGGGAACTGGGGGGAAGGGGGCATCTGTTAGATTCACCTTTATTTCATTGTAGACTGCTTAGCAGAAAATCTGAGCAGAAAAAAAATGGGTTCCTTAACTTACTGTACAAACTGAGAAAATGAGGTTAGTAAGGTATTTTTTAAATCTCTGGGTTCAAATGGGGGGGGGGGGATATCTGTGCATACTGTATGTTAAATCACTAAATAAATTGTTTTTAAAAGATGGTTTTTGAGCCATTTGTTCCCCCTTTAATGTGGCAAATTGGTAATATTGCTTTAACATGTTGACTTACCCTTAGTTTACTTGTCACAAGTATTTTGTTTAGTTTATTTACTCTGTTCATCAGGTTTGATCAACTTGCTCGTAGAAGCTTAAAGCTGGATAGTTTTATCCAGTGCTGTGTAATGCTGCGAGGACTGACAGATGCTTTCCGAGCAAGAGACACAAGCATGAATGGCAATATCACCATTAGTTATGAAGACTTCATGTGTATGGTTTTGTTGAATAAGCCTTAAACTTGTATTTAGACTGGATGAAAACAATATTATATGCCCTTTTCACAACACACTCATAGTGATAAATTTAAGACTTAAACTGAGTGTACATTTTTCATCTTTGAAATTACAAACTAGGTGTTCCACATCCAATTTGGACAGCTCCTTAATCAAAGCTTTGTAGAATTATTGGCTGGGTGGTGTTAAATGACCAGCCAAAAGGCTGACATCCATTGGTCATGTTATGTCCTCAACAACACCCCTCCCACTTCTGTTTAAGTGTAGTTAAGCATTCATCCTGCAGAGTTCGGTTTTCAAATTCATCTGGATTAGTCCTGAATCGTTTACCTTTTTAGAAACATCACAAAAATGAAAGTGTGAGAGGAAGGTTCTTTTAGACTGAAAATTTGTTCCATCCACATTAGTATGGATAGGGGCTGAAATACATTGGCCTGTGAAGCCTCATGATTGAATAACAAAGGGCTATTCCAAGTGTTAACTCTATGTAATGCTATGGTGTCATTTAGTTCATAGAACTTTACCTGTAAAAAATTATACTAAGTAAAAGCTACCCAGGCAACCTCTCAACAGTATTTATTTTAGAAATGAGCAGACAATTAACTATTCCCTTTAAAATTGGATATCCACTAACTGTGTAGTTAGACGATTGCAAGTGCAGTTTTGAGAGTTTAAGTAATTATAACCTAGATGTTTGAAATTAATAAAACTCTCTGATCACTTATTCATGTCATAATCCAGTTTTGTTTATTTTGAGTTATTTAATTAGGGTGACATAGTCACTTAGGTTGACCGAAACAACCTTTTTTGAAAAAAGAAATGGGAAGATCTTTCCCACTGGAAAAACTGTCAAATAAGTTAAATATGCACATAGTCAAAGACCTTGTGTGATTTTTTCATTGTGTAAGACCCTTCAGTTTCACTCAGTTCCTTGAATTTATTTGGATGACTTGAAAGAAACACTGTAAACCCGGCTGTGCCGTTGCAGCCAGTGATTATTGTTTAGGAGCTATTCCTTTCTTAACTTCTGAAAAAGGATAACAGATGCCAAAGATTTACTGTGTGGTTACTCAGGAAATTGCACAAAATAGCTCTCAATGACTTTTTCATAATTATTTTGGAAATTTCATGCTTGCAGCTGGCAGTTTTACAGCACCATCTCTTGTTTTTGGTATTAAATGTTGTCATTGATAAGCCAAACCCCTGATTTGTTACAAAAATTAAAGAAAAAACTAAGGCTACGTCATGATGTACTATCACTTAATGTTGCATGAGTTTTCTATGCCATTGTAAGGCTTAGTTCGTGACTTGAAATGTTTTTTTTTTTTTTTTCACTAAGCCAAGTTGTTTGTATTTTTACTTGGAGCTGGATCTCTTAAGGAAATTATGATTCATCTGGATGAATCCGGATTTTATGCTTTAATTCTGCTGACTTAAATTTATGGAGAAATGTTCCCAATATTTGTCATGCCACAAATTCCTGTTTCTTTTAATTTTTTGTCCACCTTACTGCAGATGAATGCAATAGATTGTGATTGTGCATGTTAAGTTGTAGATATATCATTTATATTGACCTACTGTGACTTGGAAAGAAAGTGTTTAAGAAGGATTTAGTTTTCAAATGGAACCAAACAAAGTTATTTCAGTTATTGAAGGCAATAAAATTCCCTGCCTTTTCCCTTACCTTGGAGAATTTTCACTGTATTCACTGCATGGCAACTGTGCCACTTGAACATAAAATGTTGTAGAGAGAGTTAGAGGGCCTGAATTAAATCATTGGGATGGGTGCTAGTAGTTCAAAACAAGGCCACTATACATGGTGGTTGCAAAATGCTTCTCTTTCCAAAGAAAAGTTTGAATCCAGGGCTTCTCTGGCATCAAAGACTAACCAAATCTATGCATCCTACATAAGTTCATATGTTACTCTGATAGAACCCAAGCACTACTTATATTTAACAGCAATATCCACAGGAACAAAAACAATGCATAAAAGGGTACAAAATGTTTATTCTCCCATACTGAATTGGTACCATATGAAAATAAATAGGATATTAGATTCATAAATTTATTTACTTCTTACAGAGTCTTTTTATAATACTGCCAGACCTTCACTAGTGTGTTGGTGTGATTTCATCATTTGCAAGCCTGAATGAGTACTCCATCATTAGAATATGTAGACTACATAAATTTTGTGTAAGAAAAGGCTCACAAAATTTTTGCAAAAATAATTTTTTCAGCTTATGTGATTGCAAAAATGATCTTTGTTAGTTGTGAAGTTTCTTGTCTCTGATTGGTCTTATATCTTCATATTGAAAATCATCACAAAAAAGTTTGACTTAGAGGGTACAAAAATGAATAATTAAATAAAAGTTCTAGTCATTCTATCAAATAATGCATCATGTGTGCTAGAACCGTGGTTTTGAAGCCAAAATGCAAGTAAATCACAATTTCAGAGGAAAAAACCTATCTCTTTCTGTGATATATACTAAGATGTAGCCACAGAACCCATGTATAAAACATTTGGACAGTTTTTGATTAACTGGTGTTTATTGAACCCATATATGTTTCTGTCCATCTCTTGAGATTGGCCTGCCAAAACAAACAAGAAGAAAATTAATCATAGAGTCAAAACCAGTATTATAATTAAACTGGACAACTAAATCAGTGGTGAGAAAGTCAAGAAACCTACTAAAACTTTATTGCATCCTAAGAAAAAATGATACAAAACATGCCATTGAAAATTACCTTTGACACCAAATTGAAAATAACATTACCTAACTTAAGCAAACTTTCTCTATTAAGGTTCAGTCAGGTTTTTCCTCACATGATTTTGTTTTTGCAAACTTAACACTTGAGTTGGGAATGAAGATACGATTCAGAATATAAATAACATGGGCTTAACCTGGTTTACTTCAATGTTGGGGAGGGGGGTGGGCAGTAGAGTGGGGTGGAGTCCATGTAGGGGTGTTGCCATTACTGTCTGGGTGCTTCCTACTTTGAAGTTTTTATGACAGCAGAAAATCTCAAATACCAACAGCAAATGGATTGAATAAAGCATGCAAATGAGAAGGTGCCTGTTAAATTTTGGTCCCCAATTGAAAGTTATCACTGTTAGGCTCCAGACCTGGCTTTTAGAAGCAGCCACACGTGTGTCAAAAATTACAAATTTACAGCACTGAGGCATCGTCTTAAGAAAAATGAAATGAGCCAAAACACCATAATTCAGAAAAACATCTTTCAAGCACAGGGAAAAGTAACTAGTTAATAGGTAAAAATACTGTTAGTAGTCAACTAACTTCGAATTAGTCTGGCAAAGCTTTTGCCAGTCTTTGTTGTCAGTCATGAAGGATTGGTTACAAAAGATTGAATGAGTAATGGTACAACTGAAAAAACACCAAATTATAAACAGAGTTTCTTGAATCTGTTATAACTACTTTTATTTTCTTCTAGTAGGCTTAGCTTCTGTAAATGAGCAGTTATGTTTGCATTACTGTAAATGGGACATTGTGTTAGATACAACAGCTCTCATCACCATACCATCAGAGTGTGCATAATAAAGAGTATGTCTTAATGGGATTTGCTGTCAAGGGCTGACATTTAATCTGATTCCTGTATCAAAGACACTTTGTAGTAAAGAAGTGACTTCAAGAAGAATGTGTGAATTAGAATTTTGACAGGACAATACAGTCTATGGTAGAGAGGCATCTATACTTGAAAGGTGTCCCCGAGTAGAAATTTGAATCACTGAAATTGTGGTGGGAAAAACAGTTATGCTTTAACTTACAGTTTCAAGGTGAAATTGGAGGTAGAGTTTCTTCTTATTTTTGAAAGCTTCTTGACAAAGGTACTGCTAGATCATTACACATACCTTGCACCAAATCAGTGATTCTTCCAGTTTTTTGTATATATACTTCATTTCAACGTCACTGAATAATTGTGAGCTGATCTCTGATGCTAAAGGCTACAAAGAAGGAATCAAAATTGTCAAAATGAATGAAAACAGGTACACATGGGTGGGGCTACATTTTTTATTACATAATCTGTGTTCTAGGTGGTACCTAAGCAGGAAAAGGGAAGCCACAGAGTTATCAGTTAGCTCTGTTCTTTGTGTTTGTACATCTGTTAAGGGTACCTGCTTAAAAACTGGTGGATATTTACTAAGAAACCAAGTAGCAAGATATACATCCACTGCTAGCCAGTGACACTGAGATGAATAGTTGTTTTAGTATAAATTATATGAAAACAGCACTTGAGATAATACAGCACAAAAACATAATTTTAATTTAAACATAATTTTAACTCATTTATTGCTGTAACAACGACAATGCTTTGGGAAACAAACTTTAAATAATTTGCTCCAGGGTGGAGCTAATGGATATTTGGGTTAAGAGTAACCAATCGGAGTGTGTCTTCAACACTAATCACAATTTTAGTATTAGTATAAAAAAAATCTGATATTCCTGTGATGCTCTTCTGGAATAAACACCAAATGCTAAAACTGAACAAAAGGTTTAACTTACCATTAATTTCCTCCTATTCTTATATGAGACATCACGAACAATTTTCATCAGAATGGTTCCTAAGACCTAAAAAGTAACAATAAAATGTCATTTATGCCTAGAATTGCTGCTTGAGACAGTTTTGGTTTGCAGTCTGTTATTGAATCTTAAGTTATGAATACAATAAAACAACCCATAACTTGTGATCTGATCATCTTCAATATATATAAAAAAATATTGTCTAGCACACTGTATGAACACATACCTTAAGGTTAGATAGTGCCAGGCTACTGGGTGTATTATCCATAAGTCCATACTCATTAGGCTTTAGCAGCAGTGTAGACACCAGTCCTCTTGAGATAAACAAGCCCAGCAATAGCATGGTGATCACTTCATTTGTTACTTTAGTTAAAGCACCTTGGTCAGTGAATGTCACGCTATCCTGCAAATGAGCATAAGATAACTCAGCACTAAAACCTCAAGCTCATATTCACTATATGATTATTTCACACATAAGAATAAGTGAAGAAGTGAAGAGGTGAAGATGTGAAGAGTGTATGGCTGCCTTACTGTAGAGCATTACTGTAGAGCAGCCCATTCAGGCCTTAGGGTTGCTAAATGGCTTAGAGAGGAGCCAGCTGTGTTGTTTTCAATTATTCATACATTCTTCCAATATTGTTAAAAATTATTTGCAAGCTTATCTCTCTCGTAAGTGCACTTTTTTTCAATTGTAGGTAGCTCTCAGGACATTGTCTAGACTTTGTTTGCTGTATTTAGTTCATTAGAACTAGCATAATGGTATTTTTCACTCACATGTAGGACTCCTTCACTGCTATAATAGCATATCAAACAAGTTAAAATAAGGTTGTTTCTTCAAGATGCAATTATGTTGTTATTGGAAAATTGACCTCACTTTATAAAATAATTTAGTTGTGAGCATGATGACTCTTCTATCATGTGGATACAAAAAACACCTTCCTCCTGACATTTGAGAGAATCAGATCATTGAAACCCATCTGCAAAGGCTAGGGAGGTTTGTTAACATGCCTACAACACATCCAGCATTTGGTAAAAAAGTCTTTTCTTTTCAAAGTTTCTCTTTTCAAATACCTTTTCCACTTGCCACAGGTAGTTGGGTGGTAGAAAGACACCTTCTTGAGTCATAAACCACAGGACACCCTCTCTTGAAGCACTTAGAATTCCAGTAGCAGGTTTAATTTGAATAATATTATAAACAATGGTCTCAACCATGGATGAGAGTTCTTTAACGGCACCTTGAGAGTCCTTTGAAAGTCTCTGGAAAACACCAGGATTCTTTATGTTTAAATCAAATGCGTCATCTTTAATGGCATCTTGAATGGAAGAATGCATTGACCAGTCATGGCTGAGGTAGTATTCTCTATGAAGTTCATCAATTGCTTGCTTTATAAGACTGTTGAGGTTTTCAATGGCACTCAGTCGCCTTTGTTGAGCTTGTTTTAAGAGTGCCATGAGAATAAAACAGGCCCAGGCAACATAACCAACATGGCGTAATTTCCTGACCCTATTAGAACCAGGAAATGGATATGGCTGTTCTTCATTCCGATGAATTTGGTTGCTGAGAAATCCCTCTGGTTTTAGAGATAACCGAGGTTTCATCTGTGTTCCTGGAAGTCTTTCTGTGGGTCTCACAGGAGTTGCAACACCTCTTGGTACCTAGTAAACACAAATGACAGTGAAGAACTCTAAAATTTGTGACTTATCATAATTCATTGTAAATACAGCATATTCATTAACTTCGGGTTACAGACCTTAAACACGAAGATGCGCTATAAAAGGAGCCTTAGGTCCCACTGGACCATTTGTCAATCAACCGTCGTGTGATGTAGAACTCTTAGAGTCAAGTCAGCTTGAGCTACAGCTACTCCAAAGCAGTGAACAGTGGGCGCATTCCTCAAAATTGTTTTATGTCTTCATCACAACACAAGAATTTTTGAGATTTGTATTTCCTTTCTCCAATGGAAACGGTCTTTATTTGTGACAGTAAATTTGAGATCAAAGTAGGTGGTTCGCACGTTACCTCATGCCACCATGCTGGTGGAAGTAAACAATAGATATCTCATAAGCTCCTTTNGAGAACATCGTGGAAAGGAGATATGTTTTCGGACAGTTACCGGAGGGGTCTGGAAAAAGTTTAATCTTTCAGCTGCGTAGAGTGTTCAAATTCTTGAGCTCGAAAGGCCACGGATTCTCTTCTAGTCCCTTGGTCATTGTCATTTCACCTCTTTTGTCGGTTGTTGAAGACCAAGTTAAATACCTTTGATCATTGGGAATCAATGCTGCTTTCATTGGGGGAAACAAAACCAAAGACCAAGAAATATTGGATGGAAAGGGTGGGCTTGCTTTACTGTAAATGTCAGCTTAGTACAGGGTTATCTACCACATCTAATAAACAAAAGTTTCCACGTTTAGCTTTTCTTTTTTTTTTTCAAGCGAAGATTAGATTTTGGCCGGGTGCTCGCAGAAAGTTGCGTAAGTGCCCGTTGCTTGACATACCTGCGTAGCCCGTGTGACGAAATAGCTTCTCGGGATTGAAAAAGTTTCAGTTACAGCATATTATACAAAAAATCTTGAAAGATTTAGGCTTACATCATGTCTAATGTTTAAAGCGACATATCAATGCTTGCAACCATTATGTTTTACACGAACCTCGCAAACTTTTAAACACATTCTCTTGTGATACCTGTGAAAGTATTCAGTATAATTTCTGGTAAGATTTCGCAGACAATCTGATCAATTTCTCTTACATTGTGTGCTAAGACTAAAACTTTTCACCTCGGGCAAAGCTTTGTCGCATGGCCCTAACAAACATAGCGAGCAACAGAGCTTGTTGTCTATGTGTGTGTTAAAACACACGAAAGGACTCCAAAGGACACTTCACTCTGATTGGGCAGAAAAACACAAAGATTTTCTGGCACCAATCAAATGCCAGAATGACTGCAACCGTTTGGAACTAGTCTTGTAAGACAATGTCCCCAGGGGGGGCTCTTCTGCCCTGAACTTGAAATCGACTCTCAGCCGCTGGGTCTCCGAGGATGGTTATCACCAAGAGTTGGGAAAAAACAAACAATTGGAGGACTTCAAAGGAGCTTTTCCCAGGATTCCTTTTAATGAAAACAAAAAAAAAAATTATTAAATAGGTTTAGTTTTTTTTTAAGTTTGCCACTCACAATGCCACCAAACAATTATTTTCTCAGCTCTTAATATTCAAAGTCAATTCTCAGTGAAACAAAAAAAAAACAAAAAACAAAAACAAAAAAACGGCTAAGGTGTTGTTTCTTAACTCGTGTATAAATCGTTGTTCCATAATTGCAGGTGTATGCTTTGTCAACTCACCCTTATGGATGCCGTGTGATCCAACGCATCCTTGAGCACTGCATGCCAGAGCAGACATCACCAATACTAAATGAATTGCATCAACATACAGAAAGACTGGTTCAAGATCAATATGGTAACTATGTGATCCAACATGTCTTGGAGCATGGCACACCTGAGGACAAGAGCAAGATTGTACAGGAACTCAGAGGAAACATACTCAATTTTAGCCAGCACAAATTTGCCAGGTAATTTTGCATTTATGAATGATTTCAAGGCTAACACAAAAGGGATCCATGTGCTTAGTAAATAATCCTAGTAACAAAGTCATTTCAAGTTTGTAAGACTCAAAAAGAAAAAAAAAAAAAAAAAGAAATATAAGAAACCCCCCCCCCAAAATATGAGTACACAGTTTGTTTTCATCTCCTTAGTAGTATTTTACAAGTTTAGAAGATTCATTGTCTCTCTTTCCTTTTCTTTTTCTTTTTTTTAGCAATGTGGTTGAGAAGTGCGTTACTCATGCCTCGCGTACAGAAAGAGCAATGCTCATTGATGAAGTTTGCGGCAGCAGTGATAAGTAAGTTTAATGCATTTATCAACTTTCCTGTTACTTTGACTTTTTTTAAAACAAGGTCTGCTGTAATCTTAACCAGGACAGTTGATCAATGTTCTCAAGGGCAACTTCTTGAAAAAGAAAGATTTCATGCCTGTTTGTGTTGGTGGAGAATGACACATTTCACTTCATATGCCTTTTATTTGGTTTCGATAACAAAATTTTTTGATATATAATAACTTTTGAAATGTCATTAAGGTTGTCTCCAAACAAATTTTTTCACTATTAATAAATAATAATTATTTAACAGTTATGTGCCGAATGACTAAACATTGTTTAATAATCATCAAGGGGACAATTCTGCAACGCTTAGCCCAAGGCGAATGATAGTATAATTGTTCAGGTGCTCTGAAGTTCTGTTATAGATTTGTGTTGAAAGTACTCTTTTACAATTGTTTTGATTACTTGTACTGAGATATGCAGCCAACTTCCACTTGACTTTAAAAGGTCTATTTCATTCAGTCAGCAAAAACTTGTATCTCTTTTTTTGAAAAGAGGCATGCAAAATTTGGTAGCATCTTTAGCACTAGTTGGAATTGAATTGCTATAATCACCTTGTGCAAGGTTATTATAGCCAGATATGATGCAATCCTTGACCAATCAGAGGTTTTGCATATCTGTAATCACCAGAGCAGTTATACTAACTTTCTTAAGACAAGGAGAAACACATTAATGCAAAATTCATGACATGACTTTTTATAATTAGTGCCTTGTACACCATGATGAAGGACCAGTTTGCAAACTATGTAATTCAGAAGATGATTGATGTGGCAGAACCGCCTCAACGCAAGCTGCTGATGCACAGGATTCGGCCCCATGTGGCAACGTTGCGCAAGTACACTTATGGAAAACACATTTTAGCCAAGTTAGAGAAGTACTACATGACAATGAAACCAGCACCAGATTTCCTCCCTTTGACAAATGGTCCTTTGCTTTAGAAATGTACTTTGTTCAAGTCATCTATTTTCTTGTTTGCGGTTGTTGTTGTTGTTTTTTTTTTGTTTTACTTTCTTGCTTAATTTTTTGGAGATGTTTTTAGAATTGGCATCACAAATATAGATCTATTAATATTGATCCAGAACTTGTTAAGATGTTTTTCATTCTTATGAAGCTGTAAATTTCCTTGTCAAACTGTAAAAAAATCCTTTCTTAAAGCTATTAATCTTATATTTTACTCAATTTGAAATCTTTTGTCTCTCCAAATCAGTTCTCATTATTGACATTCTCAGTTCAGTTATTGAATTTTACGCATTGAACAGCGTCATCTGTGTGCCAGTTGTACCAAAGAATGCAGTTGATTTTTACCTGTATAGGTAAAACGTAGTTGTCGTGTCTTTTTGATCAACAGAGCAAATTGATGGTTGAATTTTATGATTTCAATGAACTTTTAGTCTTCTTAAATGCAGTGGCTTTTGTTGATTATAGTTACATGTTAAATGAATACAAGTTTCTTCAGTAACAGTTATTAATAATGCTAGGTCCAATAATTGTAGTATTTCCTTCCTAATGGAAGGTAGATTCTTTTTGGTAGATTCTTTTTGGTAGATAGGTAGCACATGCATGTTATGTTACTAATCAAAGCTTATTAATTAGGAAAATTACAGGCAATCAAAGCCAGAGTCAGTAATCCTGTTATTTTCGGAGGGTTTTTAAGAGCGTCAAGGTTCTATCTCTGCAGTCTATTGACATGTTACTATGAATCAAAGCCTTCAAAGATAATTGTGCCAGGTAAATGTACAATTAAACCATTTTGCGTCTGTTTTTACATTTAGAAACTGAAAATCTTTTACCTGTTATAGTGTTTCCCAGTCTAGTTAGCAAAGGAAGTACATGTCTTTCGAGGATTGTTGTTCTAAAGTTGTTGGCAAATGATTAGATTGAAATTTATGTAATTTATTTATTTGACAGAAAACCCGAGCCCACGAATGTAATGTTAACAGGAAATTGCTTGTACTCTAGGCTAATGACTGTTTGTTGGCATAGGTTTCATTATCCTGACTGAAATTTTCGTGAGGCCTATTCTTATATTGTCTCCTTAGTTGTTTAGCATGTTAAGTAAGTATGAGTCGAATAGAATGTTAAGTTAAGTTCAGTAGTATGATTCAGTACGTATGCCTTGTGTGTCAAACCAACTGGCTTGGGAGATCAACAGCACAGCTGCAAGTGTTGTGATTTTCTGAGGAGGCACAGTTTGGCATGCGAGGGAAAGTCCTACATAAGTAATCATGTTAAAAGTTTCAACTAGAAGGGTGTTCCTTCATACTTAAGAACTTTTTGACAGGTGTGCATGTTTCACTTACTGAAGCAAAAATGCTGTGACCATATTTGGATGGGGAAGGTGTGGCCATCATAGAGCGTTTCCACTCGCTAGGGTTGGCACGTGGTGAGAAGCTGTGTAGATATATTGGAAGAGAGGGAAATGTTTAAATAAAGAGAGTTCAGATCACAGAAGATTGACCCACTGTACCAATAAAATCCACGTGAAGTCGACTGGAAGCGATCTATAGGTGCTCTTCCCATGCTTTTAGAAAATAATTTTTTCGAATTCTTACCACAATTATATTGTCAAAGGTGAATAGGCGAGGTAGTTAGCCACGTGTTGTAACATTCAAGTTTCTATGTTTTGTAAGTATGTGGATTTAATTAAGGTGGTAAAAATGACCCAAACTTCTATATATTTGATTCAAAGAATTGTAACAAAATGTAAACTGTAACATTGCAATGTTTTTAAGGCCCTTGTAAGGAAATTCCTGTACATTCTGTACATTTGTAAATGGCCACTGGCGAGAGCTGCATTGAATTGTAACCAGCACACTGTATAGATAACGTAAACATACTTTTGGTGGCTATCGCAAGTGCAAGTGTTCGAGTGTTTTCATAAACGTTTTGGGGTCCATAGTTTGGATGTTCTTAGGTTGATTATCAGAGACTTGTACTTGGGATGTATGTCGCCGGACAGAGCAGTTTTGCTTCGGTAAATATTTCGTACCACTGTTTATATGTATTCAGAGAAATCAAACACTATCAAAACAACAAAGACAAATATATTGTAAGGATAATTTATCATTTTGATCAAGAGCGCTTGAAACTTTTTGCCGTTTTAGGTTTTAGGGTAATTTTTAACAGACTCGGTCTTTTTTTTTTTCGGAGTCTCGCGGTGTAATGAAGCAGAAAGGGTAAGTGTTTTTGTATGTTTCTGTGTAATACTGAACAAGTACCGCCTTGTACAATGTGTGCGGTTGTGTAGAAGTATGTAAATGATGTAAAGAAAGTAGTCTTTTGAATTCCTGTATTAAAATTTAAAGGTGGTTGCACAAATAAATGATATTGTTTATCAGTGTTGTTTTGAAACCTTGCTGAAAAGAAATTAGTGTACAACGTGACACTCCCTCAATATTAATCCACGAGAGTTCTTGTGTGTTTTGCTGCATAAATATTAACGATCTTGGGTTCCATGTTCTATTTCCAACATCGCTACAGGGAACCGAGTCAACATTGTAATGATCTATAGTGCGGACTACCTTGGGGCCGATGAAAACTGAAATTCATTCACGTTTTCTGTTCAACAGCGCAAATAAATGTATTTGTGAGTCGTTTTGGTGTGAAGAATTGCTGAGAAAGTTTACGAGTTGTGCAGTATTTTGACGAGCCCGCGGGACGTATGAAAGTGCAAACAACGAGTAAACATGGGCATGCTACTCGTGCGGTAATTGTTTTTTTGAACAGGTAGGGTGGGTGGAGTAGTACACTGTGTAACTAATGTTGCCATTTTCGTTAAAGAGAAAGAGCATTAAAATAACAAAAACATCTCGTTACTTTATCTTAATAAAGATAATGTACTAGATATTTGGAGCAACTTCAGAATACCCAGCCACTTTTGAACGTTAACTCGATTACTCTCGCGCTCCCGAAGACGAAGCATAAGGAAAAGAGAGGGCATGTAACCTAGTGTTCTCGCAGTCCCGCCCTCCTGAAGTTGAAAGATAATATTAAAAGAGAGGTCAGTTAAACCGGTACTCACGCAGTCCCGCGCTCCCAAAGTCGAAGAATGATTAAAACGGATTTATGGCAGCCTGACATGATTCACTTCTTTAATAAAACATTACTTATTTAACAGCAATTTGTTAAGTATAAATTGTTCGTTCTTTCAAAAAGAAATCGATATGTTCCATTTTTTTGGAAAGACTCGGAAATTCTTCATTCAAAAATTTTAATCACAATTATACAATTTCTTGAATAAAAAAATAACGAAAATGCAACTTAGCCTGGAAGGAATTCGATTTGAATGTGTGGGTTCTATTTATGAACGAAGGTTATATATTTGAATTTGGCAGCTCACTCACCAGCGAAGTCGAAATGCTCAAAAACAGGGTATGCGTGTTAGTGTACACCGTTTGGTCACGCTAACGAACGAGACCAGTTCAGTGCTCTACCAACTGAGCTAGCAAGCCAACTAGGAACCGGTCATTATGTTGGTTCGTATTAAACCCGCGAAGTGATGAATCAATGAATTTGAATATATGAAAATTATATGTGTGTACGGCAGTTTAAATTCAAAATTTCAAATATTCAAAAAAAAATTAAAATTTTGCCATCGAACGCCCACGCGTATACGCACTGCGAACCTACTTTTCTTTATCGCAGACGTGAAGTTAGAGAGAGCGCTTCTGCGTCATGTAAGCCTAGTCAGAATAGGGATACAACATGGCGGGTCAGTATCCTGGCTTTGGTGGGTACAACCCAGCACCACGCTCAAATCCCTACGGAAACCAGCCTCATCCTCAAGGTAAGAAAGATAAGATTCTCCTGTAAGGCAGAATTTATTATTATTCAAACGAAGAGCCACTGCACAAAATACGGTTTAATTTACTTTTTAAGAAGAAGAATTAAGCAGAAGTTCCATATATTGTTCATACAGAAAGCAGGGCTCGACACTAAATTTTCAACTTACTAGCCAAGTGGCTAGTGACATCTTAGATGTTTTTAGATGTTACGACAATTTCAGTCTGTTTACTAGCCAAACTGGCTGGTGGAATTTGAAAAACACTAGCCAAAACTGAATTTCTACTAGTCTGTGGCTAGTGGGCAACCGTTAGTGTCGAGCCCTGAGGAAGGTTTGTGAATGACACTCATCAGAGCTATCAAAGGCATTGTGATAGATTATCCTTAACATTATTTGGTTTCGTCCGAATAATGTTTGCAGGCATTAATTGAAAATTTTCAAGAAATGGCCTTGGACCAGTTGTTAAATAAAACTTCCTCAGTTTTCTTTGACTCAGCAGCACTCTTAAGTACAGAAACCGAGTAATCCTCATGCTAACTTTGTCTTCAAATTCACAACAAGACTGGAAAAAGAATTAACTCGAGGAGCTGAAAACTTCCTTTTCAACCAGCAAATATTGAAAACGACTTTTTTAATGCACTTGTATGTTTTTATTTGCAAAAATCCTTCCAATGTGATTTTTAAGGAATGCATAGGTAACTGTACATTTGATTTGTTGTTTTCCTTTTCAGGTTATGGACAGCCTCCTGGTTACCCGCCTAACATGGGCTATCCACCACCTGGTGGGGGCTACCCAGGGGGGTATGGAGGAGGATCTTTTGCTCCACCACCTGGAGCTGACCCTACCTTGTGGAACTGGTTTGTTACTGTTGATAGGGATAGGTCAGGTCAAATAACAGCAAATGAATTACAGCAGGCACTACTGAATGGAAACTGGTCCCACTTTAACAGTGAGACATGCAGGCTTATGATTGGTTAAGTGCCCTTTTTCTTTTATATGTACTTGTCACATATTATTTTTGTCCTTCAGGACCCATGTTGTTTTCCACACACACACACACACGCACACATACAAAAGTCGTTAGTAAAACTCTCAGGCCAACAAAGGTACACTGCGCCAGAAGGATCAATAAAGATTCACAGTCCAAACCTCACAGTAAACACAAATGTACAAAGTTTAAAAAAAAATGTGAGGATGGACAACTTCTGACATAAAAAAGATAGAAAATTTTAATAAAAACGTTTCAGTCAAAGACCTTCAGTTATTTACAACTTTTTTTAAAAAAAAAGCTTTAAATAGGAACGAAGTACTAGTGATTATGTAATTACATGTGACGACTAATGAACTGGTGCTAATAAAAAGATGATAAAAAAACCGAGCTACAAACAAAACAATGGACAAAACACAAGAGACAAAATCCAAAAAACAAGAAAAAAAGAAAAAATAAATATGCTAAAATGAGGGGTGCAACCGAAGAAGCAATGCGGCAAGCATTAGAAGAGGGTAAGCCTATTCTTAACTACAACAGTTACTGTAAATCGTAATAAAATCCCAAAACAAGGCCTTTGGAGCCCGAAGGGCAGATTAGCAACAAAATCCCTGGAGGAGCCCTTAAATGATACTAATCATAATAAGATCCCTTAGCAGGGCCTCTAAGTCTAATCAACACCTAAAAGGCTGACAAAATCCAAGGAAAGGGTCTTTGAACAATTAATTAATAATGTATATTATTATATGGCTGTGTCTCACAATGACTGGGAACTACTGAATTCACGAATTTGATTGGCTGAAATCAATATTGAAAGTGGTCTAGATTTTCCCATCTAGACTGGCATCTAGACCGGTCTAGAAAAAAAAGGTACAAAGAAAACATTGGCATGTAAGACACAGCCATATAATAAACATCTTATTAACCGAGCTAGGTCGGTCTGTATGGGAGAATCTTGACCTCAGTCGCTGGTACAGACCTCACTGTGTTCGGTCTGTACTGGCGACCTCGGTCAAGATTCTCCCATACAGACCTCCCCCTCGGTTAATAAGAACTAAATACAAGATGGAAAATTGATTATAACAATTCTGTTTTTAGAATAAAATTCCTTTCTTTTATTCAAACCATGGGGTGCCAGAGAGAACAGCTGGGCACTCCAATAAGTCTCTTTTGTGATTAAAAGCCTATCGATCTCTTCAGAGCCGCTTGGGGCTTGTACCTGATCAATACATAGGAACGGAAAATCACCTAAGGTGTGTGGGTTTCTGTTGAAGTGTATCGCTACCTCACAAATCGTTTTGTTTGTGATCATAGCAGATTTGTGATTTTGAAACCTAACTTTAAAGTCGGTAGTTGTAGATCCTACGTATTGCAGGCAACAGTTCGTGCAAGAAGCCAAATAAATCACATTTTTAGAGTCACACGAAAGCCTAGAATTTATGGTGTATTTTTTGCCTGTCTGAAAGCTGAGAAAAGACTTAGATTCAACAAAGAAATTCTGACATAGGTCGCATCTTTTCCTATCGCATTTAAAGCAGCCATTGTTATGAGGAATCGTTTGTCTCTTGCTGGCAGCTTTAAAACGAGATGGTGCTAATAATTCTTTGAGATTCTTCGACTGACGAAAGGATGGTATGATAGAATTTCGAGGAAAAAGTTCTTTCAATTTGGGATTGGATTGCAGAATGAACAAATATAATTAATTAATTAATTTGTAATTAATCAATTTTCCATCTTGTATTTAGTTCTTATTAACCGAGCGGGAGGTCTGTATGGGAGAATCTTGACCGAGGTCACTAGTACAGACCGAACACAGTGAGGTCTGTACCAGCGACCGAGTTAATAGACCACTTTCATAAATGGCTGCTGGATTAATATTCTTTTGTTTAAATTTAAATTAGCCCTTCTGGCCTCGCTTGTCTACCAGCATTTAAATTTGACCCACACATGTCAAGGGTGAGTGACAAATGAGCCTGGGTCTTCCCAGGCAAGACTTCGTTATATAGCACGATTTCATGTTTAAGGGAAGCTCTTATGGGAGGGTGGCACTTATTTGAGAAAAAACTGCAATTATATATCAGCAACTAAATGATATGAAAGGAAACTAATAAATGTATACATCTGTTATAGACAGTAGCTTAACCTTTTCACTCCCAAGATCTGATTGTTAATTCTCCCCTCTAACTCCTAGACATTTCCTGGTAAATTAGTAGGGAGAACCTGTTGTTGGATCAAGATAACTTCTACTCAATAAGTTTGAGCATTCTAATTACCTATTAACTTGATAATGTATGAATTTTAGAGGGAGAAGTATTATACTAAATGACATTTCACTTGTGGAAGTCAAAGGGACAAGGTAGCAAATAACTACACACAGGTGTGATATACCTTTTAAAACTTACCACTGGTTTTGATGAAGGATTTCCTTGAGCAGGAACTTGTAGGTGTTCTACCACTGGCTCAGGTGCAGCTGTAATTAAAATATTAGTCCATTAGGAGCTTGCTTTAAGAGGAAAGACCTCAAGAAAAAAACTAAGAAACAACAGTGAAGTTACAGAAAAAAATTAATGTAGAGAAAAACATTTTTAAGACTACTTAGGACAAGGAAATAAAAAAATAACAAAAATGGAACCAAACTCCATGTTACCTATAGTTAAATAAAATTGTTGACTTCTTCCCCAGAAAAAGAAAAGAAATAAACTAAGAAGCAATAGTAAAGTTACAGAAAAAATAAATGCAGAGAAAAACATTTTTAAGACTACTTAGGACTTAGGAAGTTAAAAAATAACAAAAAACGTCCCAAATTCAATGTTACCTTCTGTTGAAAAAAAAAAATTGACTTTTTCCCCCACAAGAGTACTTCTGCAGTGTTGATGATTAGGTGTATAAAAAATGTACCTCTTTGAGCATTCCTGTTTGTTGAATAAGTAATAAATGGAGACATTTCCCTTTGACCAATCTGTTCAATCTCTACTGGTCTGACATCTGATAAGCTATATTGTACAATGTATAGATTAAAGGAAAAGAAAGAGAGCCACTTGTCAATACACACTTACATATTACAAATGTCATAGCAAAGACTTAATTTATAATAATTATACTCAGTAACTGTTGCTAATGAAAAAACTGCCTGCAACTATAGAAAAAAGAAAAGAAAAGGTTAAGTCAGCTTAGAGCCTTGGAACCATTCCTGCCATAATTAACTGCAGTTCCAGTATGTTGAAGCCAGTGAGAGTACTGGCTCACCCCCCCTGGACAAGATCCCAGTGGATCAGAGGGTTTCGGTAAAAGTGAACAATAGCTTCCATGTTCGGCTATCGGCAACCTGTCAGCCAACTGTCACCCGACACGATACCAACTCTACCGACAGCTGGCCGACAGTGTTAACCAGACCGTACATACCAATTTGCTAGCTAATGCAAGCAAGGTAGGCAATAGCCATTATACTATCTCTTCACAATTTTTCCTGTTGTGACGTAGTTGTTGAAGCAATAAATAAGTGTTTGTGGTCATTTCAGCACACAACTTACCAACATATTGCCAACAGGTCACAATCAGTTACCAACAGACGGCCGACAGTTGGCCGACAGTATCTTTTGGGAACTGTTCTTCACTTTTACTGGGTTTTCCCTATGATTTGGTGAGGTTTTCCTAAATTTTGGCAAGTACCCAGCTATACTCCACTAGGTAGAGAGTGGAACAATAAAAGTTAGGTGTCTTTCCTGAGAACAAACACAATGACCCCTCAATTAAACCTCAATCTGCAGTCTGGACAGTGTATACTGACTATCAAGCCACATGTCTGGTAAATTTGATGGAAATAACTGTGAATAGGGACTGAGAAATAAAATACATGTCCAAATACAATTATTTAAATGTATACCCTTTACTTAAATGTATATTAATTACATTTATTTAATATCATATTCTTATGATGTATGACTGTGTTAGAAAAATTTTGTATTAGAGCTACCTTTGCTGTTGTGTCTTTTCTGTATTCACTGATTTTCCAGTTGGTGAGACCATCTGTTGCAACAATAACTGTTGAAGCTGCACATTCTGGGACATCATGCTACTTATTATGTCTTGGTAAAATTGAAAAAAAAAAAGACCAATGTATATTGGTATCATCCTTACCATAGGACATTATGGTTATAAAATATCAACAGGAAATTAGCTTCCTCACAACAATAAGTGATGCTTGGGTATCTTCCCAGAGCACTGACTAAAGGTGTTCAGTCTAAAATATCCTTTCAGATTGTCATTAGGGTGTAATGGGAATAAAACCAATCAAACGCGTTTGTCAAACGTGAAAGCAAGTTTAGCAAAGGTCTTACACTAGCAACACACTTAGTAGTTTTAAACACTAATTGTAACGATCTGTGATAAATAATCAGGTGTGCTTAGTGCAGTGATTACGATTTTTGCCAATCTCTTGATCAGCTTATAAAATTGCCAATAACTAGCATGTAGGCAATTTTCACTGATGATAAAATTTGCCTCTATCTGCCAATAAAATAACCAGATGTGCCACCTGCTTTTAGCAATTACTATTCATATCTTTTTTATGTCTGATTTATTCAAATTACCTTTCATATGATCATCATTCTGGATTTGTGTTGGTGGTTTCTGTAACTGCCTCTTCCTTTCTTCCTTTTGCAATATATAACATATATGTTGCAATGATAGAATCAATAAGGAGTGACAGAAAACATATTTTTTAAAAAAAAGTTAATGATAAAAAGTTGGATAATGTTTTTACAACTTCATTATCATCATCAGATTTACATATAAAAGAAAGATACAAATTTAGTGATCTGATATACAGCCTCCTCCAGACCTACACCCTATGCCAATAGCAACCTCGTTCCCAGGGTCTCTCATCTTTCCGCCCCCCTGGAGTAAGAGAAGAGAGGGGTGGAAAGATGAGAGACCCTAGGAATGAGGTGGTGCCAATAGACAGCCCCCTGTTTATCACTATGCCTTATGAGGATAACAAAACTACCCGCATGGTTCCAAGACAACTTTGTGATCTTGAGAGAAAAAATAAATCATGGATGGCATCCAATCTTTACCAGCAAAAAGATCACTGACAAGCTTAGAGAAAGTTAATAATAGACCACTTTCATAAATGGCTTCCGGATTAATATTCTTTTGTTTAAATTTACATTAGCCCTTCTGGCCTCGCTTGAGATAATGTATTCTTTTGAATTTTGTACTGGAGAATGAGGCCAGAAGGGCTAATTTAAATTTAAACAAAAAAATATTAATCTGGCAGCCATCTATGAAAGTGGTCTATAGCCTCCCCAAGTTAATAAACAAAATGTTGTACAAATCTAGTTATGATTTATATGATGCAAACCACTTTCATAAAACATGCCACTTCCTCTTCCAACATGTGGAGGAACATTAACCTTTCTCAATCAAGAAGCATCTTGATGATGTACATAATCTGAGGAGCAAACCTGGGAGAGGGGTTGTAAGGCATCCAAAAAAAAAAATGCAGTAGCTAAGTGGATGATGAAAGGCACTTTGAGGATTACTTGTCACACCCAAAAACACAGTAAAGGCCTGGCTGAGAAAACCACAGATCTTAATCAAAAGCTGAGCATGTTGAACACTAGACCACTACATTTATCACAGTAAGAAAATCAAACAAAATAATTAGGTACACTATACTTTTACTCTTTGAAGAAGTTGTTTACTCCTTAAAGTTTCAACTTGTAGTTGCTGATGGAAACCTATACAACCATAAAAATAACAAAAGACTGTAAATCTCTTACTTTTGTGACATAGTCATGCCATAAATGTAATTTGATAATGTGAGTAAATAGAAGTAAACACAGGTATTTAGATTTATTGTGAAAAATCTGATTGCTTTAGAGCATCAATCAATATACAATAGCATGTGAACTTGACATGATAAATGCCATATCTACTGTGGATATTGCATTTGTCATGTCAAGTTCAAAGTCTGGCTAGTTTACAAGCCCCTCACTTCTATAGTGTTCTCAAACTTTTGCAAACCCAGAGAGCAGTGTCTTCTCCAGTAGATTGTTTACAAAATGTATAATAAAACAGTTTTTGGAGGAGGTTGAGCATGATATCATGAATCATTAACCCCGTGTTTGTGTTATCAGTCTCAGCCTTCGTATTCGACGGGTAATACAGTTTTGATCATTCACGAAGTATCATGCTCAACCTCATTCAATAATTATAGCTTAAATTATATCAATGACCATTCCATGTAAAAGTTTATAGTAACAATTGGCGAGATAAAAGTCAATGTTAATCAGTCCACTCGAGCTCTAATACAATTTAACACGAGGGGAAATGACCGTTTAATCGTGAGATGAAGTATTTCTTAGCTCTAGGTCTTCTCACCAGCTGTAGAAATGGTCCCCGCAGGTTGGTCATAGGAATCTACCCGCTGTCTTTCCATGTCTCCACTTGGCTGACTGCTCATTTTCTTAAAATTGATCACAGAGAAAAAATAAACAGTAATTTGGGCAAAGCCTCAAAATTTCGTCTCAGAGAATTAAACTCACTTGTTGGAGCATTTTCAATCGAAGCTTTGTAAGTTCATCCTGAATCCTTCCGTCCGACATCTTGGTTAAATTTCGCGGACACATTGTATACAACAGATATGGAGTAGCAGTCCATAACCGCTGACCAGGGGCAATTTTCACGTGGCAAAGAACGAATATTTCTCAAAGACACCAACCACCATTAGATTTCAAATAAACAAGGATAGCTCTTGCAATCAAATATGAGAGGTTTAAAAATATTAGAGCGAAGCGGAAGACAAGTCTGTCAAATTCTTACAGTTCAAAGATGTCAATATCATGACATGTCAAGGGCTTGTCTGATTGGAACTGGTGCTGAAAATTTTCCTGAGTTTGAGGTAAGATCCCTCGCAGTAGCCGTACCTATCGGCCAAAATATTGAAAAACCGCCTGCTTCATTTACTCCGGACTTTCTTTCAGTTTGTTAGCACTTAATGCATGGAACTTCGAGTACTAAATGCGTCGCTAATAAAACAATCGGAACAGCTGTGCCTAATAAACATATGAAAGAGATGTTACATACATTTTAAGACGATTTACCCACACACACACATATATATATATAGATACTGCAAAGACGATTATGTCTGGCCACAGTTCGAACGAGAAAGTAAATGTGTTTCTCCTAGATTAAGCTTCCCCCTGGAACAATTGCCCCTGTCCTAGCCATGAAGTTTCAACATTTATGCAAGGGCACTATATTCAGCAGGATCTACGCGATCTTTCCGTTTATTACGTCAACTGGGTGGGTGTGAGAGGGGTGTAGCTCATGGACGCTCCGCATTGAATTGTAAACTCCATCATATACTAGACTTTATCTTTCATTTTTTTTTTTTGGCTTAACTGTTGCAGTTGAGAAAGTTTTTTGAAATGTTTGCGATGATCTTTACTGCTCTTCTATCATGTAAAAGACTTTGGTTTCAAACACAATTCTCACTAATCTACAAATAGATCGTGTTTATGCTAAAGTACCAGTACTTGTTTTATTCATGCTTAACAGGACAACAAGGCAAAGATGGCTGCTGCTGTTCAAGACCTGGAAAGGACTATTTCCAGAATAAAACAAGGTACCAATCGTTAACATTTACAATAGATGAGCTGTGGCCAACTTTGATGCACAGCTCTCAAGGTTCACAGGTACACAATCATTTCTCATGCCTAACTTAGTTGGAAATCAACATTACTTGTTTATGTTGTTGGTGGTCATTAGCATGCTAAATTCAATTTCGATAAAAAGTACAAGATGGTTTCATGTCTGAAGGCATGCTTGTATTTGCAAGGAATTGTTTCTGCATTAAAAAATTTAAAGGCATTTTGAAGAGTTAACCCAAACTTGTCACCAATGCTCCCTCTTCGTTATGGGAGATTTTGGCCAAAGCACATGTACAGTGCTTCTTGTGGATTATTGTAATCTCTCAGTGAGGGCTTTGCAAGCTGATACTCAATGCACTTTCCTTGCCATGTGAGAAAGTTTTCAGCAAGGGTGAGGTAGAATTTTTATCTGCAGGCAAGTGATTCTGATGCTCAAGACATTTGAGTTGGCATGAATGTATGTTTCTTGTATTTCAAAGAAGAAGAACTGGCCGCCAACTCTTTTAGTTGTTTTGTATATCTAAAGGGAAATTTTTTGGAAACTGCTGAAAGATCTTCATCAGTAATTTTTTGGAAGTTATAAGGATATTGATAAAAATCTAGGTAATCAGTTGGTACAGTAGTTGGGAAAGAAGGTAGCTGGGTAGGTGAAGGGTTGGTTTATCGGTAGACTAAGTGTATTTTTGTAGTTCAAATTTTGTAATATTGATTTTTCATTGCCTTAAGTCTACTATAATGGTAATGTAATCTAAGACAAAGGAAAGTAATTAACACTGGATTTAGTTACATTGAATGTAATTTTGTCTAAATAACTTAGAAATTTACTGTTTCAGTTTTAAAACCTGTCAGGTTCAAGAGAAATTCATCTTCTACTTCAACTAAATGAACCAAAGTTTGTTCCAGCAATGTTAATCACATACAAGGTCATTTTCTCAAAGGTGGGGATGAAAAAGCAAGGAAGAGACATACTTCTAAAGGAAAATTGTTACCCAGAGATAGGATATCCTGCTTGTTGGATCCAGGGTATACTTTTGTTTGTTTAAATTTGTTTCTTCTACAGTAAATGGTTTGAACCTGCGGGTAACATGTGATCATATAGTCTGATTATCTGGGCAAGTGTAATCCTAAGATGTACTGTTGTTAGTAGGGGTACTGATGTCTTGATGATGTTTCCTGGAATCTGATGATGACTTTTGCTCAGGTTGTCAGAACATCAGTCATTACTACCAACATCAGTCCTTCTTAAGTCTGTGTATGTGAGCTGAGTTTTTGTGTTGGACCAAACTGGATTCAATGGTTAGAAGTCAAACAAAGAATATTTTAATACTGCACTTTTCACTTGATTTCTAGTTCACCATTTCTGGAGTTGTCTCAGTTGGCTGGACACAAGTTGTATGGTGGTGAAGAGGTCCCTGCTGGGGGGATTATCACTGGTATTGGTAGAGTGTCAGGGTGAGTGGTAAATCATCCAGACCAGAACAATTTTTCATGTTATACCATCATTCTGTTGAGGTTTGTTCTGAAGAGGTTTGTTCTTGAAGAAACATCTTGATGAATATCTTGTGTCTAAAGCCACTTCTAAGACGGTAGCTGAAAATTACCAATTTTTTAAGGACATAGTTAACGACACTATCAAAAAGCATATTCCACAAAAGACTCTTGGTAGTAGATGGAATCTGCCCTGGTTAACCAATACTTTTAGACAACTGATCAGGAAGAAGAAGAGGCTGTACAATAAAGCTAAGAGATCTGGGAATACTTCTGATTGGAAAAATTTTAAAGATCTAAGGAAACTTGTCAAGAAAAAGCTTGCTGATGCACATGATGATTATGTTTCTGAGCTTCTGTCATTTACTGAGGAACCTTCAGGTAAACCAAAAGCTACAAAATGTTTTTGGTCTTATCAATTTAAGATAAAAAAAATCACATGATATTGGAGTCACACCACTTAAAGATAATGGATCTGATGTGACTGACAGTCTTGGGAAGGCTAACCTACTAAGTAATCAATTTAAGTCTCTCGTTACACAGGAACAAATTGATAATATACCATCACTTGGCCCTAGCCCTTATCCAGACATTCCATCTTCTGTGTATGATGCATCAGGCATAATCAAGCTACTGGCCAATATCAATCCTAACAAAGCTAATGGTCCTGACCTTATTCCGTGCCGGGTTTTAAAAGAAGCGGCTGCTGAAATTGCACCTTTTCTCCAATTTCTCTACACCCCATCTGTAGCTACTGGTCAACTGCCGGCTGACTGGCAGAAAGGAAATATCACACCTGTTTAGTAAAAAGGTGATAAACGTCAACCTGCCAACTACCGACCAATTTCATTGACAGCTGTGCCATGTAAAATACTAGAGCATATAATCTTTCATGATATTATGGCCCATCTAGACTCAATGAACATCCTTATTAAATCTCAACATGGCTTTCATAGGAAACTCTCCTGTGAAACCCAGCTAGTCACAACAGTAGAGGAAATTGGAAGAGCCCTTGACAATGGAAATCAATCAGATCTAATCATTATGGATTTCTCCAAGGCATTTGATACTGTCCCACATCAGAGATTAATTAGTAAACTTGACTATTATGGAATAAGGGGTAATCTCAAAAGCTGGATTACTACTTGGCTAATATGTAGAGAACAATCTGTTGTAGTAGATGGAGTATCTTCTCCTGCAGTCCATGTGTCATCTGGTGTTCCCCAGGGGACAGTCCTAGGTCCCCTAATGTTTCTTCTCTATGTAAATGATATTGGGGATAACTGCAATTCTGCTATACGATTATTTGTCGATGATACCATCCTCTATAGTATCATCAAGTCGACTCTGGACGCTGGTCAACTCCTACTTGATCTTTCTACAATTGAATAATGGACAAAAAAATGGCTCATGTAATTTAACCCCAGCAAATGTTTTGTTATGAGAGTTACCAGGAAATCTCATCCAATAATTTTCGATTACAAGCTAATGGGTCATACTTTGGAGTCTGCATCACACTATCCATACCTTGGGGTGGAATTGTCAAGGTCACTAGACTGAAGTCATCATATTGATATAAAGACTAATAAGGCAAACAGAACTTTGGGTTTCTTAAAAAGGAATCTTGGAAAATGTCCTGAATCTATCAAAGAACTGTCATAAAAATCCTTAGTTCGACCGCATCTCGAGTATGCAAGCACAGTCTGGGACCCCTGGAAGGACAAACACGTAAATCAAATTGAAGCTGTTCAAAGAAGATCTGCACGTTTTGTAAAAAATTGTTGGGAGCGTAAACGAGGGACTGTATCAAATCTTCTAAATGATTTGGACTGGCCTCCATTACAGAAAAGAAGAAAGTCTGCACGTTTAACCATGTTCTACAAGATTCTCCATGGCGAAGTCCAGATGGAACTCCCAAATTATATCAAGAGGAAAAACCATCAATTAAGATCATATCATAGGGATAAATTCATAGAAATAAAACCGAACACTGAAATGTATAAGAATTCATTTTATTGTAGAACCATCAAAGACTGGAACTCTTTACCAAATAGTGTTTTAGGAATTGGTAAATTAATTAATTTTAAAGATGCAATTAGAGGAATTTAACCTGTAACATATGTATATATATATATATCATTTATCATTACATTTTTTATCTCATTTTGTTAATTATTATAATTGTTATTTTATGTCTTGAGTGATGGCCCCCCTTTGTAAGACTAATAAATGTAGATGTAGATGTAGAGAAAGGTTCCTGGGGACAGACTGATGCTTCTATAATGTTAACATGAAGGCTAATCTGCACAGGACATCAGAATTTGACCCATGTTTACCAGAACAGTCTTTTTGGAGACTATACTAAGTGCAACAATCATAATACACAGTAGACTCGTTTGGGCATGAAGGCTGTTTCCTTGATGGGTCATCAGGAATTTAAATTCCTGAATTGAGTATCTATATAGAGGGTGGCAAAATGTTTATACATGATGTGGGATTAAGCCAAAAATTGATACTTGTAGTGGGATTTTATAGAAAGGCAATTGAAGGCAAGGTGAGAATTGAAGATTTTCCTTTTAAATTCATGTTGCCTGAAATACTGTTAAGGCATATGTGATGCCTATATTTTTTGAAAATTTGTGCATGAAATGGGATCAGGACCCCCCTCCCCCAACCATAATTTTACTACCCTCTGCATACACAATGGAAATGGAATTTTGATCTTTTTCGTGCATATCTGATAGGAAGTATTTGGTTAGTTTTGAGGGACATTTAATGATTTGATTTTAATCTTGTGGTAAGTTTGAGTTTTACATGGTTTTAAAAAACTTTGAGCACTTGACTAATTAAATCGAAAGAGAACAGCCATGTTCTAGTCCTGCTTAACTATCAGCTTTTATCTACTTTTCCATCTTAAATTTATTATGTTTATGATGATATGAGATAAGGCATACTGTGTCTGTGTCTTCATGTTGTAATTAATAACTCATAATTAAAATAACAATATCATTTAATTATTTTTCAGAGTAGAATGTATGATTGTTGCAAATGATGCAACTGTCAAAGGTGGAACATATTACCCAATAACAGTTAAAAAACATCTCAGAGCTCAGGAAATTGCTCGGGAAAACAGGTTACCGTGTGTTTACCTTGGTGAGTTGATTATTAACCATCAAAGGTGGAACATATTACCCAATAACAGTTAAAAACCATGTCAGAGCTCAAGAAATTGCTCGGGAAAACAGGTTACCGTGTGTTTACTTTGGTGAGTTGATTATTAACCATCAAATACCTGAGTTAATTTTTTTATCTCTCCTGTTAATCTTGATTCCTCCCTTTACTGATTTTCATTCCCATGAACAATATAGCTCTAAGCCAGGGCAAATCTGATTGTGTTCCATGCATATTCTTCTTAACTGTGTTGGGATGTACTGTATATTTTATATATTGCGGAAGAACTGTTATCAGCAGTTTGTATGATTTTGTATTGGCTAGGGGTGATGGTGTATCTATTTTTAATACCTTCAGTTTGTGACAACTTATTTAAGTCCTTCCTTCCTTTCTTTGACTTTACAGTTGACTCAGGTGGAGCTAATCTTCCAAGGCAGGCTGAAGTGTTTCCTGACAAACTTCATTTTGGCCGAATATTTTACAATCAGGCAACTATGTCTTCCAAGGGAATCGCTCAGGTACACATTCTTGATCCTACTAGTGCTTTTAAGATGAAAAAATGAAATCTACCGTTATTGCTGATTTGAAACATCAAGTCATATTGCTGCTTTTGAGACAGGAATTGTCAATTTGGAGCTGATGCTATTCCTGGTTACCTTTCAGGATTATTGCATGCACTTCACTGCTTTTATTTGTCAATTTTCCTTAAAAAATAAAAAATCAGCTCTTACATATGTATGTATAAGTTCACAGAGTCATCATGTCCCATAATGACAACATTGTTCAATCCTCAGATAGCGGTAGTCCTTGGCTCTTGTACGGCTGGTGGAGCATATGTGCCTGCTATGGCTGACGAGAGCATCATTGTCAAACAACAGGGGACTATCTTTCTTGGAGGGCCACCTTTAGTGAGTATGCTGGCCTGCTTAAGTACAGCTTATCTTTGGCTTTGGTCAATAATTGACTATAGATCCCAGTTTTGATAATTCATGATATCATGCTTGACCTCCTCCAATAATTGCTTATTGTTTAAAGTATGATGAATGTGAGACAGGGGATGCAACCGAACTGAAAATTAAGGTTAAATAAGCTTGATTTTATAAATTTATTATTGTGATGATATTTTTGTGATTTACCTTTTACCAGGTTAAAGCTGCTACAGGGGAGGAGGTATCTGCTGAAGAGCTGGGTGGGGCTGACTTACACTGCAAGTATGTGCCTATTCCAGCCCTTCTCCATAATTCTACACTATGACTTGTACATGTGAAAACAGGATAAATTAAATCAGAATAGAAAAAGTTATATATCTATGGTCAAAAGTAGTACACATTTGTTTTTACAGTTATTGTTAGTAGTCATGTTAACTTAATTACCATGACTTGATGTCCACTCAGTATTGCTGAAATGGCGGATACATTTAATGCCTTACATACATGACGAGGGTCTGAGATCAGGGCTCCTACAGAGGAAAGATTCCTGTTAACTGAAGGAATTACTAGTAGAATATCTTTAAATAATTTACAAGTTGTTCCAACAACTAGCTTTGGTCAGTCCTGAACCCTTAAGATATGATCAGCTACAGGTTTCTCAGAATATTAGAACACTAGACAATGAATTAGGTGGAACATATGTGAACCTGCGTTTATGTTTTTGTTTTTGTCTGTTGTTGTTGTTGGGCTAAACAAACTGTTAAATGAGTGAACGCCTTATTATGAAATGATTACTGACAATTTGTTTTGTTGGGTAAACTATATATATTTGGGATAAACTTAGCATCCCATCAGGATGGCTTAATAGGTCCCTATGAGTAAGGTAGTATTTTAAGCTCCACCATGGTAAAACTTTGACCTTTTTAATAGTAATAAAATTATTAAAAACTTGTTTGTTGACTCTATAGAACATCTGGTGTGACAGATTACCATGCAGTTGATGATTTTCATGCCCTTCAACAAACTCGACAGTGCATTAAGAATCTCAACTACCAGAAAACTTTACCAGTTCATGTAAGTTATTTTGATTACATGACTCATTTATTGTCATGACTTAAAAGAAAATAAAGAATGAGAATCTTGATACATGAGATGGCTGCAATCAGCTTGTCAATCAATTTCCACTTGACGAGGCTGTTAGAAAAAAACCCAATGTTTCACAATGATAATGAAAACAGTGATGATGATTATGATGATGATGGTGGTGGTGTAGTTTTTTATTAACATATCATATATCTGTATTTGTAAGGTACCGAGAGAACTTCCCAAGGAGCCTCTCTATCCAGCTGATGATCTTTATGGCATTGTAGGCGACAACTTAAAGAAACCTTTTGACGTGAAAGAAGTAAGAACATTTACATGAAGAATGAGATCTCCAGTTGACAGTAAATAACTGGTTCACATGTTTAGTTTAGTTTTGTTTTGTCTTTTTTACCGTTATTTCTGTCACTATTTTCAAGGCTGTGCAGTAGACCTCCAACTGCACAGACTTTCATAATCAGAAATTCCTTGTGAAATCTTCCAAATGACAGAAATGTAGTAACGTTAGCAATACTACACTTTCTTGATCTGTAACTGCTTCTCTTTAGCAACCAACTGCTGTGTAAGATCTTGTACATGACCCAGCTAACAACAGAGTTCTAATATGTAGCTCAGTAGGTTAAGAATCTGACTGTAAGGTCGCAACTGGGTGGCATACAAATCCTTGTGGGTAAATTGCAGTTTTTCTTTTTACAGTCTTACTTTCTTATGCAAGCTACAACAGCGCGCCCAAAGAGGCAGGCATCTCCTCTCTTTACGACAGGAGAGCATCTCTATCGTTTGATCTTTTTAACGACATTGTTCTTGACATTAATCACAAGCTCGCAGGTCTGCTCCCACCTAAAGCTGAGCACCACAGGCAGCTGCGCAGCAATAGGAAGTTTAACGCGCCAGTGGGCAAGACTGATCGTCTTAAAAAATCTTTTGTTGTTAGCCATAGCCTTAGGATGTAAATATATATGTTTAAGTATGTATATTTTCTTAACACAAGATTATCCTAAGTGAAACGTTTTTATTAGATTTGTATATTTTTATTATTAAGATTTTCAAACTATTTTAACTATGAATTTTGTTTCTTGTATATTATACATGTAATTCAGTCTTCAGACTGCAAGGTGTTTCTTTTCAATAAACGATTTATCTATCTATCTTTGTCCTGTGCTTGTGGAAAATGTGTAAGATCTTTTTATAATCAGTGTGGAAGAATCAACCTAATTTATGGGGTGGGGGGGGGATACAACAGTTTACAGTCATTAGTTTTTATAACCAACCACTCCTGTAAAATTTTAGTACATTAGTTTTCCTTGTGGTTCTTGCCCACTAGGTTATTGCAAGGATTGTTGATGGAAGTCAATTTGATGAATTTAAAGCCATGTATGGGGACACTTTAGTGACAGGTGTGAGATACACATGTAGTTGATGTTCTACTGTTTACATGATTTATTATCATTATCAATATCATTGTTGCTTTACTTGGAGAGGAACTTAAGCTATTGTGAACAAAGTGCTCATGGTATCCACAATTGTGAACTTAGAGTTTGATATTGATGAAGGCATAGCCATAATTATATACAGGGATGAAATACTATGTTAACTTCAAGTTCATTTCCATATGGTCTATTTATGTCTGTTTTTATTTTTGCTTTGTTTTCTTTTTTTTGGAAAGGTTTTGCCCAAATTCATGGCTATCCTGTAGGAATCATTGGAAACAATGGAGTTTTGTTTTCTGAATCAGCCCTCAAGGGAGCACACTTCATACAGCTCTGTTGTCAGCGAAAAATTCCCTTGCTTTTTTTGCAAAATATAACAGGTGAATATGTCAGAGTCAGGGCACTGTTCATTTAGAATTTTCGGGCAGCTAGTTACATTCATCTGGTATACTGATGTTAGTATACCAGACAGGAACTCAAAAATAATTTGTCTACCAATATACTGAAATATGGTCAGAAATAATATATAACATATTCAGAGGACTGAATAAATTATGTTATAAGGCGCTTAGCTCAGCCTATTCTTCATCCACGTTAAGTGAAAAAATGTTTAATTTTAGGTTTTATGGTTGGTAAAGATTACGAGGCTGGTGGCATTGCCAAAAACGGAGCAAAAATGGTAACTGCTGTGTCGTGTGCACAAGTACCAAAGATAACTGTCATTATAGGTGGCAGTTTTGGGGCTGGAAATTATGGAATGTGTGGGCGGGCTTACAGGTAAGGCTGAAGAAAATCTTCTAGTAACAGAAAGGTTCAATAACAACACTGGCTGCAACATGTCGTGCCTTCACAACTGCAAAAATATTGGTCGAAATAAATCTACAAAAATTTGTCAAATGTGAAAGAAAGGTGACTATTGTCTTTTTAATGAATTGGCCCTGAGGCCCCCTGAGGAATCAAACCCTTGTTCTTCGGATTCCGCCATCGACGTTCTACCACTGGCCTGCAGGGATCTCTAGGAGCTAGGTTCTAACAGTTACTGTTATGGTGTTGTGGTTATCAGATAACTCTTTATGTGTCATAGGAAAATCACTCAGAGAAACGTTTCCACCTGAGAAGTTCCTTTAGTTATGACGCTGCTTAGAAAACTATTGTAATTATTGTGATATTTTCAAGTATTACGTTTCGTGAAAAGATTTAGGAACAGGTCAAAATAATCCTTTTTGAGAGGCAAAATGTTAAAAGAAAAAGTAAAAAAAAACTTATTAAAAAAACTTGCTGAACAAACTGCTCTCGCCGAGTACTTGTGTGTACTTGTAATAAGGGCCAGAGAGGAGAAGAGTTGGTCGATTGATGTCATAACCTGTTCTTGCGATGTCTAGTAACTGTGAGTACATGATGTTTTTTAGTCCCCGTTTTCTGTACATGTGGCCAAATGCTCGTATTTCAGTGATGGGAGGTGAACAGGCAGGAACCGTACTGGCCACTATCACTAGAGACCAGAGGGCAAGAGAAGGAAAACAGGTTGGTTTATTGTCTGCTTCAAACAAAAAGTTAAGTTGATTCCTCAGGAAAAAAAAAAAATCATCGAACAATTTTTCTTTAAAACTTTCCTTAAATGTTCCTCACCAACTTCTGTTTCAAAAAATTCAGTAAAACAGATTGTTTACCGTGCTTGTTTAAGAGATATACTAAGCCACACTTATCCCATTTATGCCTGTACTGGCACTAATCACGCGCGTCATTTCATTGGTTCACGGTACATTTTGCGATAGCTGGGAGCAAGGGGTTTTTACAGTGACACTTGAAAAGAGCTTGAAACTTGACAGGTAGAAAGTCTCGAACGTATAGAACAATTTGATTTATATTTTGTGGGAAAATCTCGCAATTTTAAACGACATCGACTGAAAGCGTAACTCGAGTCGTTTGCTTTCAAGGTCATAATTTGCATCCTCGAGTAACGGCCTTTGGACACGCTTTTAGCTGTATCTTTTTTCCCCTTCGATGAATTTTTTTCAAATTTCTCCAATTTAAAGGGGATAATTTGTACACCATAATTATGCAATAAAAAGTATTGGTCACCGTGTTCGTTAAAGGGCTAAGGACCATCGCACCTCTTTAAGTCCTTTACTTGGTCATTGATTGAAAAACAATACCCTGTTCTCGAAATGCGCAGGTGCAATACTGATGAATCACCTTAAGCTCAACACCGGCGGTAAAAGCGCCACGAATTTCGACTATTTTTGTGGGTCCAACTATTGTGTCGGCTCTTTTTCTGTTTATCAGTGAACGCGATCAAATTTTATTTGTTGATCTCATTCAAGTTGTAAACTGCTAGGAATGGCTGAGACACCCGAGGGACGTTTGATTCGCAGATCTCGTGGTTTTATCTCTATTGCTAACTAAACTTAATTGTGCTTTTCGCCGTACAGTTGACAGCAGAAGAAGAAAAACAAATTAAAGCTCCAATAATCTCGAGGTTTGAAGAAGAAGGCCATCCTTACTTTTCGTCCGCCAGGTAGTTATGCACTCTAGGAAGTTTACAATTCAATTCAATTCAATTTAGCAAGGCTTTTCCCAAGCTCCGAGGCTTGGGGAGTTAAAAAAGATTAATTAATTATTCATCCCTCAACCTCGATGTGATTCTGTTTGTTTCTTATCTTTCTTTTGTAGATTATGGGATGACGGTGTAATTGATCCAATAGACACACGGACAGTCCTGGGACTCAGTTTAAGTGCAGCCTTGAATGCACCAATCGGTGATCCTAAATTTGGCGTGTTCAGAATGTGATAAGAAATGCTACTTAGAACCAGGCTGGCTCTTCACGGGATCTACTAACAGTGTCTCCACACAGTGAATTCGCTTCTTTGTCGGACCGGCCTGAAACATTCTCCAAATATTGGTTTATTGACTGCTGGATTCTCTTCATTCCAGAAAAAACCTTGAAAAGCTTTTAATGTCATCGTTCGTACCAAGTGCCTATGCATACACAATATATAAGAAACTTCATAAGGATTCTACACAAAGAACTTTGGAAAAAATATGGGCGTGGCCTTCAGAACCTCTTAAAACTCAGGGTCTTTGTGCCCTAATCTGCTCAAACATCGACTGAATAGTATTTTGATTAAATGTCACACTCTATTTTTTTTTTACCAACAAAAAAACAAAGTAAACTCGCTGAAAAAGATTCAAATTGTAACAGTACTCCATATTTAATGTTGCTTTTCTAAGTTAAATGATAAATGTAAGAAATATTTTTTGATAAGGATGTGGAATTTGAATTTAAAAAAGTACGAAAAAAAAAATAGATGAATTACTCACCTCACGACGAAAAGACTGCTTTCACTCCAGGATACGACCTCGCGAGCCTTTCTCAACAAATTATTACTTGTCTGAGGTCTGCCTTTGTTTTAGGACAGCAACGCACTTCCCTTTCGCTTTATATTTATCATCTTTTCAGCCTTCGTGTAGTCGTAGCCCCCCCCCCCCCAAAGGAGAAATGGTTCTCCTTGGGAGGGAGGTAGGGGGAGTGGGGGCTACATGTAGGCTCCATCATGGAGAATCATGCTAGGATATTTTTGTGGTACCAAACGTTTTCATTTACTGAGACTACTTTAAAATCGATAAAGTTCAGTAGCATTTATGAATTCGGCTTTTTTTTTTACGTAACTCTAATAGATCTCTTTTGAAGAAGAGTTGAAAGTTTTATGTCCTTGATTCAAAAGGGGATTGTGATAATTTTTGTGTTGGCTGTTGTACTTCAGTTTTTTATGCAGCATTTAAAATAACTGAGATACTACGAGTGCCCTGATTGGTGAAAAAGCTATAGTATGTTAAACTGGTAAACCCATAGTAATTTTACAAAGCAGTAGAGCACGCGCTTTCTGTCGGTTTACTGGGATAGTAATGCACTTGGGATGAGGGGAGAAGACTACAAAAGTTTGAGAAGAACCAGCCGGAGGCGCGTTATCTACAATCATTTCTAGTGTTCACCCAATATCCCAAGTGGGTAAGCTGATAGAAAGCGTGGTGTCTTGCTTAATTAATTATATATTCGAAGATATGTGAATAGTGTGACCATTATGAACAAGTGGTGTTTTAAAAGATCTTGACCACATTTTGTAGGGTGATTTGATTAAGTTCTCTGGGAAAGAGCTTCTTAGAACTCGGCAAGAAGAGGCAAGGCACGTGCCGCGACACGCAACTGTGTGCAGGTTCTAGTAAGAGAAGTTTGGGGCGGACAGCCTGCACCTCATGCCGCGACACGCAACTGTGTGCAGGTTCTGGTAAGAGGAGTCTGGGGCGGACAGCCTGCACCTCATGCCGCGACACGCAACTGTGTGCAGGTTCTGGTAAGAGA